AAAAATATTGTTTTAGTAATAAAAACCTTCTTCCGCAATGATTTTTTGGCCACTGTGCTTATTTAGAGGTGCGTATTACTACTCCGTAGAACATGGGCTCGATCCCTGGTCCGAGCAGCAAGAGCGATATGTACGTTAAGCAAGGTCTTTAAAGTCGATATTTGACCTAGATATAGTGGAAACTTGTTTACACAAAATCGATTTACTACAACTCTTTCAGAAATTGTTGGAAATCTTCCAATCGTTATAAATGTTATTGAACAGAGACCAAAAGGCGCTTTCTCTGCCAATGGTCTGAGAGAATTTTTAATGTTAAGAAAACATCAGCACACAAGTAAGATAAACCACGCCAGATCGCCAATCCGTTAATTTGATATAAAAATAGAAAATACTCGTGAAAACAGAGTTTTTTTGTACACATGTAGGTTCAAAATAAAGCACATGGGCAGTTAGAAATATCATAAATTATTATAATAAATATAAACATAAACAAAATGAATAATACGGGATTAGCGGTACGATGCGCTGCAGTTATCTATGTAAATTTTTTACGAAAGTCTCCTATTTAATAATTCTTTTCTCTGGTTAAAGATCGACTTTGACGACCCAGCTTAATAATTTACGTACGTATGTATTTATATTAGGGTGGTCCACAACAAGAAATGTCGGAAGTTTTATGCTCTCGACCCATATTTTTTATTTTTAAATTAAAAAATATTTAGAGTTCGCTCAAATCGCTCTAAGTTTTCCATGTATTTTATATGGAGAAAAAAAAACAACATTACGTAGAAATGGTATAGAGTTCTTGAAAATTAATATATTTCGATCGGAAAACTCTGGTTCTCTTCGGGAGACTTCTAATAAAAATACCCTATTGTTTATTTAACCATTTTTTATTTATCCCCCATTACATTTTCTGGCATTTCCTGTGGGTTTTGGCGGACCTAAAAAATATAGTTACTATGAAAGAACGGTTAACTAAATAATTGGGTATTACTATTGGGAATATCCTGAAGAGAAACAGAGTTCTACGAATCGAAATAATTGATTTGGAAGAATTCTATACCATTTTTATGAAAAGTTGTTTTTTCCATATAAAAAACATGAAAAACTTTGAGTGCTTTGAGCGACCTCCAAATATTTTTTGATTTCAAAATAAAAAATAAGGGTTTTTTTTCGATATAGAACAAGCCTAGGGGGTGGGAGCATAAAAATACCGGCTTTGTTTTTTCACGTGCATTTTTGGACTACCCTAAGGTATATTCTAGTAGTAATGCCGCATACGATTTTTATACCCGAGCGCACTTGTGCACAAGGGTATATTAATTTTGTTCACATAACGGTGGTTTGTAACAGCCAAAACGAATCGAGATAGATATAAACAAATGTATACATAAATGCTCAGAATGAATAGAGAAGACGATTAAGCCATGTATGTCTGTCCGTCCGTGTACACGATAACTCGAGCAAAAATTGAGATACATATCTCAACGAACGGTCTTGGTACAGCAAACCAAGTGGCGGAGAAATTTTAAAATCGGTCAATAACCACGCCCACATCCCATATAACGGTAATTTAGAGAAATACAAAATCTTCGATAAATCAGTAAATATTAAAGCTAATTTATTCAAAATTGATGCTTGCAACAATTTTTAACCAAGGAATACGTTTATGCTAAAATTTTGAAAAATGGGCACCGCCCTCTTATGATCAGATATACATATGTATCTCGGTAACCGTTCTACCAATTTGTACCAAACTCGGTATGGTTGTTGTGCTTGCCAGATAAAGGAAAACCTTTAAAATTAGTGAAATTTTACTAAAATTACGGCCGCTTTTCATATAACGGTAAACTTCAGAAATGCTTGAAACTGCAATATTTTGAAATTTAAGGACGCTAATTTACTCAAAATTGATACACTCCAGCTTACCATCTAGCGGTAGCTTTCGGAAAGGTGAAAAAATATATATTTAATACTTGCGCCGGGTATTTAATGTTCGGCTCCACCCGAACTTAGACTTTCTTACTTGTTTTATAATGAAAATTTGATAGATAATACTAATTAATAATTAGCAACGGGTAAGCGTAAAGATATTTAAAATCTGCAATATTATTTATTAATCAGCAATAAGAGGCATATCATATTTTAATTTAAATGCGGAATGTGAAGTAACATATTTCGTTTATTTCCATTTAAGCTGTTGGTGGAGCAAACGATATTAACAGTATTGGAAATAAGTACAGTACGTACATATTATGTACACACATATTTCTGTATTCTCATAACACCTCTATCTTTAAATTAACAATAGGTTCAGTTGTAAAATTTCATGATAATGAACGCTTGTTGCTTTTCGTCTTAAAGATCCATACGAAAGAGCTAAATTTTCCGCCGGCCGAAACAATCTGGAGATTTAATGCATTTCAGGTATATTACATTACAGCTGCGCTAGTAAATTTTTATTGTAATGTTGAAAATATCGTTGTTCAATCATACATACAAATTAAGCGTACACTTCCATCAAGTGTAAGCAACTTTTATCTCAAAAGTGCCATTACATGCCAGAGTAACCATAATGAATATTAATGATATGTTTTCTTTGTGCAATAATTCCGTTTCGCAACCCCAATTTTTCAGCCAACTTTTCGACAATAATCAAGATACTATCGTAATAATAAAATTTTGCGACCAGCGTTTCATCTCTGCAGTCATTGCTTTAGTACTATTGAAAGTGGGAATGGAAAAGAAAATATTGTGAAAATAAACATATCACACATTCGTATACAAATTAATTCGTACACACACGTATGGTGATCGCATGAAAAATTTACTTTTACGTTCGCTTGCACTTATTTATCACACCTTTCAAGTTGGATACACAAGCAAAAGTGGTATGTACATATTTTCGCCTCACACAGAGCCCCCAAGAGAACGAGAAATGGGTGGCAAGCCCTCATCAATGGCAAAATGTGAATGAATTCAAGTAAGTGAATATGTGTGCGAAAGTAGGTTTTCACGTATATTTTGCAGGCCAAGGTAACGATTACAATACAGTAGTTACGTATAGTAAAGGAAGAAGTCAGGCGTCAGCAAACGACAGCGATTGCTGCGACTGTCAAAATATTAAT